TTTGTGCCGCTCTTATTTTGACATCTGAGCATGCGCAGATCACTAACTTTAATAAAGATTGTGTCTGTCCTTAATAAAGAGATATTGCAAATTTCTATAAAGCCAGTCACTAAACTTTAAATTATAGTTCATCTTTTTTGTTGTCTATAATATTAAAAAGGCATTAGAAATTATAATTTTAGAAGGTTTAAATGACGATTATATTAAATATTTAATATTAAAAAATTTCTAACGGATACGAATGTCGGCGAGCGCATCCGAAACTAAAGTCGCCACTACCTGCTGCCCTTAAACATCCACAATTAAGGACAGGCACAATCCTTAATAAAGTCAGTTTTGGAACATAAACATCTGCGCATGCTTAGATGTCAAAATAAGAGCGGCACTAATAGTGACTGACCTTAAGTGAACTTGCAATAACTTTCTTATTAAGGACAGGCACAATCTTTATTAAAGTTAGTGATCTGCGCATGCTCAGATGTCAAAATAAGAGCGGCACTAATAGTGGCTGACCTTAAGTGAACTTGCAATAACTCTCTAGTTACAACGTAATTGCAAATAAATTCTATGCTAAAATAAGACTTATTGCAAACCTGACATTTTGACATTAGAGTCCTTGTCCTTATACATATTTCTAACCTCATTTTAAAAATTTTAAATTATAGCACATCTTTTTTGTTGTTTATAATAGTACATAATATGTAAAAGGCATTAGAAATTACCATTTTAGAAGGTTTAGATGACGATTAAATTAAATATTTAATATTAGAAAACTTCGAACTGATACGAATGTTGGCGAGCGCACCCGAAAACTATAAAGTCGCCACTAACTGATGTCCTTCAACATCCACAATTAAGGACAGGCACAATCTTTATTAAAGTCAGTTCTAGAATGTAAGTGATCTGCGCATGCTTAGATGTCAAAATAAGAGTGGCACTAATAGTGACTGACCTTAAGTGAACTTGCAATAACTCTCTAATAACAATAACCTATAACAAAAGTACGTGCTTCCCTTGACAAAAACACTTCTAGGTAAGTTTGCGTGTTATTGATTTGTTTAGAGTTCTTTATATGAATATTAATTGTATGATTTATATAATAATAGTCAAATACTAATAAAAACGTCAGGTCAATAAACTTTGTTGTTTTTGCCAAGAATCAGCCATTTTTGCCCATTCTGACAGGACATTGGATTGCCTAATTCGGAATAAATATGAGATTTTGTGTAGTGGTCATAGAAAAAAACATTTCTAAAGAACCGCTGGACGAGCTGTATAGCACTATCCGCCTATTGAATCCCATATTGTCACTATTAGCGCACACATTAATAATAAACACAATTCCAAACACTACAAAGTAACTCCGGCAATAAATTTCGACTAATTCGAATAGTCATACAGCGTGCACCAGATGTGGTGTACAACTTCGTAAGAATTCACGTAAAATATTGCGAGAAACTAATCAAGATTATTACCGGCTGCGAAAGGATTGTTTTGTAGTTTGTAAGAAAGTGAAAATTTACGAGTTTAGTTTTAATTGTCTAAGTAGGGATTATTTCCCGTTTTAACGGGGTAAGCGGAGATAAAGTATGGGTAAAGTTTGGAATTTATACGGAAATAAAGTGTATTTTCTACTTTACAGGAATAAGTTTGCATAGAACAGTTTCTTTGTTTCCTTTTAAGAAAATGAGGTTAACAAAGAAACATAAATATCTTCCGTTTATAATAATGATTTGTAACTACGACTAACAGAATACTTTACCTAGCACTTGTTTTAAAAGGGTGTATTAGGATGAAAATATAATTCCTATGGCAATTTAGCCTACCAAACGCACGCTTCAACTTCCAGTGATGGAAACTGCCTAGAACTAAACTTAAAGAAAAAAATTACCAAAAAATGTCTACTTGGTTACATAAGTTTCAATATTCCGGTGTCAACCTTGGGGAATTCGACGTCGCTTAGACGATAGCTAGTGAGTGGATAGCTTATAAAAATTCCGGAAATATTAAACAAAAAAAAGGGGCGCCGCTTGAGTTCCTATAATGACCAATTCCCCACATAATCAGTAAACTTTATAATGAATTTACCCAATAAATGCAAAGATTAACAATTTTTAAATTATTATAAAAGAAACTAATCTATAAGCATACCCAATATGTATTATATATTGTATTAATTCAAAATTAATGTTCTAGAAATAACTTATTATCGGTTAACACCGGCCGATATAAGAAAAGCTACAGCTTATCATGAATTCATAACTAAATAAAATAAATATCTAAAGAAAGAAATTAAATACTATGCATAAACCCAAAAAGAACAAAAAATACATCAATAGATGGCACGGCAAGTCGTTAGCAATGGTGCCCAGCTAAGGGCAAGATGCGCAAAATATTAAATAGAATATTGCAAAATGATATTAATTTCTACCTTCTTACAATTCCACAATATACCATAAAAGAAAAATTATAAATTAACATGTGCACATTCGCACCTATTTATAAACGACAACTTTTAATGTTGGAACTCAATATGCTTTTAAGCTTCCATATTTGAAGATGTTACTTGCTTAATTTGCTAGTTAAGACCTATTTATTTTTAAAGAAAAATATAAAAACCATGAAATGTTGACCGTTAAATAGCAATCAAAGCAAAAAATATAAAATAAATACATAAAAGGACTTCAGACACAATAGTATACTTTAAAGCTCCCATGGTACCTATTCTTGAATCTTAAATGTCTGTCCCCATATAAGATTGCTAACTTATCGGTAAGTCTTACTTTCTTTTAAGAATAAAGAGGAAATTGAAAGAATGAAATGTTGACCGTAGCTCTTGAGTCACGAAGTATTTATGGTCAATACTCAGATCGAGACACAAGTGCTTAATTAATTAAATTTTGAAATAATTTATCGTATTTGGCAAACACTCAAATCATTAAGTATTTAATTAACTAACGTTTGAAATAATGTTCAGTAAAAAAATAAGTTATTAAAGAAGAACCCACTAAAACATTTTGTGTGAAAAATTATAATTAAAGTTAAAAATACCCTAGGAATATTCATTTGACAAAAGGTAGAATGTTTAATTTAACAAATTAGCAGGAATAGTGTACATAAAATCCTCCCAGTTAGGGTGTCACCAATAACAGCATCACCATCACAATCTTCCATCCAGATAAAGTAACATATGTGTAAAACCAGTGAAATAGTAGGCCAGATGGCTAATAAACAAATGGACCTCGAACATATGGACCAGTGTACCGTGTCCTATGGGTGAATCCTTAAAATATAAATAAAATTGATTTAAGTTCCCCAACATCAACTATACTTGAAAAATCCACTTCAAACTACAAAATTCAAATGCCGTTGGACCTCCCTATATAAAGTAACCTATTGAAAGTAAGTATACTTACAATTTGATGTCAACAAAAACCCCTCAAGCAGGTGTGAAATAGGCTATAACTACACGATGGAAATATGTCTCCAAAATTATTTAAATTTCCCAAAATTTAAAACCTGTACTTTCACAACTATATTTGTGGAAAAATCTAAAACTCCCTACGTGGGAAGACACATAAATTAGGATTTTTCCTTCGAAGACAATCGAAAGATGAATTACGTTCAACTTTTGACAAATCTGCCACGTGTACAGCGTACAGGGCCGCCGAGAGTCAGGTCGGGCCCCGGGACAATTCTCCAGGTCGGGCCCCGCGACAATTTTATACAAAATTTCGAAAAAAAAAAGGTCTTCAAGCAAAAACTTCTCCTCCTCTTTACTAAATCTCTCTAAAAAAAAGGTCTTCAAGCAAGAACTTCCCCCCTCTTGTGCCGAACTTTTGAAGAAGTAAAAAACGTCCTCGCCAAAGTTGCCAGGCCCTCCACTTGAGTCCGGGCCCCGGGAATTGGTCCCGGCTACCCCCCCCCTCTTGTCGGCCCACGCGGGTTTATAGCATATGCGATTTTGTCAACAAGTTACTGCGCATCAAAACTGGCTTACGGTTATATTTAAAATATAAAGTAAAACAGAATAATTACAAAATATCTCCATAAAAATGTGTTAGTAGCATGCTAAAAGTAATAGTTTCACATTTTTTTTTTATTTATCTATCGTAAAATTGAAAAAATATGAATTTATTCAATTATTCGTACAATGTAAATCTGGCTTTGGATAACAAAACCCTAATCTCGTTAACGCTCGAGTCGACTCGATAGCTGAAACCCGAACGATACAAAATACAATTTTTTTTTTTCGTTTCAGGATTTATGGATGGAACTCTTGTTTTATTTCGCACGATTAAAGAAAATTTCTGATTGTTTTGTGTTATTTAAAATAGTTTTTTATTCAGAAAATATATATTATGTTTATTATTGCAACCAATAAAGATTCTACAAATAATATTTAGTTAATACAATTTTGTATTATTTATTTTAAACCTCTAAAATTATTTAACATAAAATTTTACATTTTTATTGGCATTTTTTAACACGCATGGGATGCGTGTTAAAAAAATACTATTAAAAATGTAAAATTTTTATATTTTGTCGAAGTAAATTCAAAAGCTCGCCAATTTTCAAACTAAAATAGCATTACAGCTTCCTATATTATTGACTTAGTATTAGTTGCACAAAACTATCCCATATCTTGCTGAAGGCAAACATGTTGCCAAATTTCTGTGTGGAATCTGCAACTCTTAATTATCCTTCCTCCATGAGTTGGCCACCCTTGACTTGACAAGGCCAAGTGTGTTCAGACAACATCCTTATCAAAGAAAAATGAATTGAAATGCTGCAGACTGCGAAATCATAAAGAAAAGATTGGTGAACCGAAACCTGCTAAAAAAAAAAAATAATTTTAAATTAACGGAAATTTGTGTGAGCATTCTCACATAATTGTAATCCTCCACCTGAAATGACTTTATAGTACTCAATTATTTCTTTTTAAAAGAAATACACACACAAATGGATATAGGTTGGGCATATTACATAAAAATCTACATCTCTTTACAAAAATATGTATTGACTTAAATTATAAACAAAATAATAGAGTTTAAAAATATAACATTTCATTTACGACAAATCACTAATTTTAATAATTTTACGCACTGCGTTATTATATCCCTCTTTGTATTGATACCATATGTCGTTGTTTAATTCAGGACCACCTTTACCTAAAAAAAATATTTCAATTACTTCGGATAATTCCAAAGGTAAAATAATAATAAAATAATTCTACTTCATACATTTTTTCTATGTGGATTAATATTCCATTTTAAGTAAGGACCCATACAGTGTGGTCGTAAGTTGCCCTCCCCCCCTCCTAAATCCATAACGGAATGAGTTTATTTCAAAAAAGAAGCCAGAGAGAACAATCGTCTTTAAAATTTATAATGTCAAATGTGGTCCGGTAATCTCATTTAAAAAGAATTTATCACCGAACTGTACGAGTATATTTGTTACATTTTTACTTTCAATGCACACACATCGTAATAATAGTCTACTGGTCAAATTATAGCAATCGAGAGTTTTAATAAATGTAATAAATTGCTGTATTGTCAGCCAATCCAACAGTGTGTACCTTTTATGGTGAATGGTCCATATTAATGGACACCACATGGTTCTGTAATTGGTCCAATCTTGTGTAACATTCATATTAATGAATGTGTAACATTCATATTAATGAATGTTACACAAGATTGGACCAATTACAGAAACATGTGGTGCCCCAATATTAGGCCTTAATTTATCAATTTTATAAAGTTTTCTTTTGTATTTGGATAAGGGTCACTAAAAAGATCACAAGAGAAAATGATGACGACTTACAATGCCAAATACGTTTGCTGTTTTTTTTTTAGATTGCTAAAATAGCATATATTAAGTTGAACCCATTTTTCTGAATCCAAATAATTGATATAATATTAAATATTCAAATTATTTGCAAATACAATGTGTCCGAAATTTCGAAATTATTGCACTTTCGGTTGGTACTACTCTCGCAGATAAGTAATTTATTTTTGTAGCAATTATAATAATTATTCTAAGTAGTATAAAAGCTCCGATTCCAATTCGAAGTAATTCCTCCTAAAAACTCCAGGATTAATTCGTACATTAATTAAAATTAATGAAGAAATAAATGAACGTTACTCCCAGAAACGATTATCAAGGAAAGTCTGGTGAGAGAATAATCAAAATTTATCTTTATAAATCTGCTTGCACAACGGAATCTAGTCTCTAACAACGAAATTAGTTAAGTCTCTTACAATTAAAACTTGAACAATGTAGCCAGTGGTGTACTATTTTTCTTGATATACCTATATTGTTGTTATCAATATCTAAACTACTTCTAAAAAGAATAAAACAGATAATTGAAAATAAAAAACTAAACCCTTTGCATCAATTTGATTTTAGAAAAGAACAGTAGACATGACTCGATATTAAATCAAAATATAGAATATTCGATCTTATTGAGAGAAGAAAAATGTATATGCTATATTCATTGACGTGAGCCAAGCATTAGACATGGTTTGACACAATCTCCTCATATAGAAACTTCGTAAAATACTCTTTGAATAAAATGTCGACCTTATTCAATTATAGTTAATGGGAAGAACGTTTAAAGTGAAGCAAGAAGATGCATTCTCTGAAATTAAAGAAAGCAGGTGTCCCACAGGGCAGTGTGCTAGGACCGGTTCTTTACTTATTATATACCTTAAAAAAAGAAACGTCATTAAAATTATCAAACGTAACCGCGTAATTCAGTAAACTTGTCGCCTTAAACGGGCCTTGGGTGAGATCGGGTAGTTCTAATTTGTTACTGCGTTGTTTATGATATTGGTCCAATGAATAATTCAAGTTTTTGACCTCGAGCGCCGAACGCAACATAAAAATCCACAAAAGTCCAAAAAACCGCGAAATGTCCTACCTTTCTTCAGTTTTTGGCGATTTTAATCCTGAAAATCTAGTTTTCGATTATAACTACGCTATACGTTTTTAAAGTAGACTAAATTTGCTACAATTTAAGACCAAAACCATCTCTATAGATTAAATAGTATTCGGAAAAACACATATTTCCAAAATTTATTTATTTTTTGATCTAGGAAATTTTTAATATTTTGTTGTCCAGTGGAAGTTTGACAATTTAAATTAGAATACGTAAAAGATGCTGAATAAAGTAGATCGAAGATGCAAATAGAGGATTTAAAATGAGAACTGAATTTGTATGCTTATTTTCTTTAGTAGTAGAACCACATTATAATAGGCACCTACCTGGGTATCTATTCTTGAATCTCAGGAAGTAGAAATTTTGAAGGAAGAATGAAACAAAAATACAAATTCTGTGCGTTGTAAATAAAAAGAAAAAACCGGTTGTATATTTCCTCGAATTCAAGAATAGCTATCCAGTGGCCTCGAGTTGTGTGTTAGGAACAAAACCCTAGAAGTTCCCAACTGTCCAGTGTCCGCAAAAATGTTTTTTTTTTTAATTTCCTCGTAAACCGTTGTTCAAACGTAAAAAATATATAGAAACAAAAATTAAATTCAATACAAAAACTATTCTATAAATATTTTAGCTAATCCTCACTGAATTCTCCCAAATTACATTTAAAGTTTTATGTAGTTTTTCATATTGTTTTATTTTACATTTTTCTAGGACATTCCATTTTCCTGATACCCTGCTATAGGAGTTCTCCTTTTCAGGGAGGTAAGCTCTGATCCATAATATAATGTGGGAAATATGATTTAGGGAAATTTAAACCTTAACCTAAATCACGATCTGGAAAGTGGTATAACAATGGTTATATGTGATAGGGATATGTTGGTCCAGCAGAACCAGGATCTCAGCGGTGAGTGGGAGATCTTGAGAGTCAGAAAGTAATCTTATATTAGGTTCAGGGAGTTTTCTTTTCGGTTTGCGGAATAGTCGGAGGCGCCGAGGGCGCCAGGAGGTTTGTAGTGTTTTGGGCATCTGTGTTTCAGCCTTTCAGAGTGCGAGAGACGTATTGTTTTCCAAGGGTTTGGAAACGAGTGGGAATGGAGGTGCTGAAGATGTTTTCGAAAACTTCGCTAGGAGAGCGAAATGCAAGAAATTAACATTGTCGGAGTATACATCTCTCGAGTGTGGTGAGTTTGTGGTATTGGTAGTAAGCTTCTCGACAACGGAGCGTATAAAAGAATTGTAAGTTTGATTTAAGCTTTGTTCAGAGTAGGATCGGCGAGCGTAGCGATGCGATAGCGTTGCGTCGAGCGATGCATCGTCGGTAAAAAAAAAACAGTGTTATCAAACGAAAACTTTCAGAGTTAGAGTGACAAACGATGCGATGCAATGCTCTGAAATATCAATCCCGTCGTTCCACACAAAGCTTTCGCATCGCCACGCTCGCCGCTCGTACTCTGAACAAGGCTTTAAAGTGTTAGGGTTGCATCGTCCAAACCGTCGACACAAAGTTCCAAGGAGACTAGCTCGCCGACATATGTTATCAAGAGTGCGTTGGACATGCGAGGACCAGTTGAGAGTAAGGGAGAATCGCATTCTCAAATAGTCAACTTCAGTCTGTTCAGCAAATCTGACTCCCAGGAGAATTACATTAACGTCCTGGGGAAGCTGGATTGCTCTTTCTGAGTTTGAGTGTTTGAATATGGTGAATTGTGGTTTTTGTGGGTTGAGTGATACCCTCCATCTGCTACACCAGCGAGATTACTAGTTCAGTAGATTTTGGGTTCAATTACTTAGTTTGTACATAATTTTAAGCTACTAAGAGCAGAGCAGTATTATCGGCATAGAGAAGACATTTTGTCGATGGTTGGTTTGAGGGTGGAATATCGTGTGTGTATATAGCAGGTATGGAAAAGGAGCCAGGACGGAGCCCTGTGGTACTTCAGCAAGTGGGATAAATAGGTCTCACAGGGCGTTGCCAATTTTAACTGTGATAGTTCTGTCAGTGAGGTATAAGTATATAAGTGTATGAGATATTGAAGGAGAGACTTATGTTCCTGAGGTTTTTGACTAGTTCAGCAACTTTTTTTAAACATCGAGAAGACCTGCTGAAGAGATTTAGAGAAATTACTGCAGCGGCCGCAGTAATATGAAGTGAGGAGATTGCGTCCTGTGTGGAGTGATGAGGTCTGAAACCATGTTGGGACTGAGGTATTATGATTCGCTTTTAAGACCCAGATTCTTTTCTTGAGCAGAAGTTCAAGGAGTTCACCTAGCACTGATATGAGAGAAATTGGATGGTATGAGTCAAAGGGCTAAAGGGTTCATTAGTTTGCAGCCACTGCAGCGGGTTTTCATACAAAAATGTGCCATACATCGCACTTAAGGTAGATTTCCACTCCCCAGAAAGCGACGATCTACCCGATGTCAAGATGCTAGGGGATGTATTGTGGATAGATCTCACAGCAATTATTGACGACCGTGTTACAGGTATTTCCAGTTGAGAAACAGATGTTGCTCAATCAGGCCTTTCCAAGAGGTCAAAATGTACTACACTTCAATTCCAGATACTAAATATACAGATAATAAATTGAAGAAGCATACTCAAGCGTACCCAACTGTTCACATATTACTTGTAATTACCTCGCCAATGTTAGTGCTTGGTATTAACCATTTATATGGTAATTATTTAAATATTTTAAAGACGTTTCCTAGTATTGTACGCGCTTTTCACTTGTCATATAGGTATTTACTAATATATTTTTTTATATGTATTTCAATATTTAACATATATTATCTTCTCTTATCATTGTAGATCTGATGATGGCTTAATGCCGAAACGGGTTGTCTTTTAACGTTTATAAAATTATTTACGTGAGATTGATTTCGAGTTATTTCTCAAAATATAGATAATTATTTCATTTACTTTATTTTCTCCCAACGTAAATTTTTATTTTAATTGATTTTCTAATCCACGTTCTTTGCTTCTTTCTATTTTCAACAATATGTTTTTGTCTGATCAATAAGTTTTGATATATATATTTGGTTTGTTAATAGGGGAGGCTGGGGTATAATAATCCCTCGAGGTTAAATGATCCCCACGAATATAAACAAAACTAGCAGTGCCATCTGTTGAGTAATAGATGAAGTATAATCGAAAGACTAAATGCAGTGACCGACAACAGACAACAATCTGTTAACAGTTAGACTCATTTTAGCGTTATTTACACGTACATTATT